AGCGAATAAAGTCTTTGCAGTTTGGCACATTCTTCTTGGCAGCCACAAAGCAGCTGTTGGATCAATACACAAAGTTAGTAGAAAAAAAACAGTACAACCAATAGGAGCCTGTTGGAAACAGTTAGTATAAAGCACGGATTGCCAGGAGTCTGTTCATAGTTGAGGGTATTACTGAATGTTTCCATGCTGCTGACCCAAAGGCTTGATGTAAATGAATTCAAACACTTCAAGCAAACATGTTGTGGTTGGGAATAGAAGGGGGGGGACATTGATCAGCAGGTTTAAAAAAGGAATGGTGCCCATTGCAAACAGAGAAAGAGTTTCTATCATATTAGCATGTTCTGCATTGTGAGGAGATGTTATTGTTTTTCAGTGAGTATTAGTGTTTCATTTGTATTTTTCTCATAAATCTGAAATGTGTTTTATTGAAGCTGAGTGCATTTTGCAGTGTCTACAGGGATGAGGAAAAGGGGAAATCTACATAATATAAATCCATATATGGCCCAGTTATCTCTCTCTCTTTCTCTGTTGCACCCACTCTGATTGATTCCTTTATCTGAGGGAAGCAGAAGACATGCTCTGTTTGCTCGCACAGTGGCCGGCAGGAAAGCAGAGAAAGACACTTATTAAAAAGGTCATCTCACAGAGGGTTAAAATAGCAGGGCACAGATCTCTCTGGGGGGAGCAGACATGCCCCTCCTCTAGTGAAGGACACAAGAAAAGGTGTTGCTCAAGGGAGCTGGACCCATAATGAAAGAACGGCCACTAGGCTGACAGCCCATGTGTGCACTAGGCTATTCAAATACCTTCAGAGACGCGGAATTGAAGAATTGACCAAGTAAGGCTGTGTGAAAATGCAATCTTTTGAATTAAACTCTGAGCTAGAGGTGTTATTTTTATTTACAGTGTGGGCTAGTAAACACAAGCTGAAATGAGATGAGAAGCAAGGTATTTCTTTGGCGAGTAGGCCTGAAGGCATGTTTCCTTGCCTACCACTGCAATCTCATACCTGGCATATGAACATCTCTTGTGCCAACTGAGAACAAAAGTCAAACTACACACACACTGTTTCTCTTTCTCCATTAAGGATAGGTAACAATATAAGTGTGCGCAGACAATGCAGCGTGATAGTGAGACAAAGCATTTGTGAAGTGTTTTTGGAAAGTCCTATGGAATAGCTATGCCTCCAGCCTCCTGTCTCTTCCCCAGGGTAGCCTAAAGCCATGTCGGCAGGATGCTGATCCCCACACGGAAACCTGATCCGCAGCCATTCTGGAGCCGAGGGGTGGGGTAAGGGGGGTCTCCCCCCTCAGAGCCTCTCTACTTCTGCCCCAGAGTTAGAGGGGTGCTCTGGGGGAACATTCTTCTAGCCCTGCCCCAGCCAGCCTCCACTCTCAACTCTCTAGAGGAGCATTCTTCCAGCCCTGCCCTAGCCTTCACTGGGATCTCCTGGGGAGCATTCCTGAAGCCCTGCCCCAGCCCAAGACGGGCTCCCTGGGGACACATTCCTGCAGCACTCTCTCTCCCTCTCTTTCACTCTCCACATCTCCCTTCTTCTCCCTTGCTCTCTTTCTCAGGCGCTCGTCTTCCTCTGCAGTCCAGCATTAGTGCGATCAATAGCACCGATCGCATCGGGGACACGAGGCAATCCATACCCATGTGCTCCCTTAGCGCACTGCAGTGGCCACAGCTTAAGTGCATGGGAAGGTGTTATACCTCTGCCAGATGGGGAGAGACAATGGCCGCCATTGATCGCAGTGACATGTAACATCTTTTTCTTTCTCTCTGTCCATCGGGTGTGGTCGACACACAGTTAGAATCTGTTTAGACTTTATTTCACTTGCCTTATCCGACTGCTTTTATAATATGTATTTTTTAAGCTTACTGACTGTATATGGGCTGTCTGTCTTAGGAAACTCACTGTATATGTTTTGATGGGAGGGGAAAAAATGCAGAGTTGTGTCAGCATGCAAATCTTCATACATGGATTGGTTCCAGTCAAGCTTTTGCAATTTGTTAACCAAAAATAAAATATTTGAAATCGTAAAAATGGAGAGTTTAGCAGGTGCTGGTGGTTGATTAGAAAACGGCTCTAATAAAGGATCCATCTGTGAGTAGAGACTTGATGTAAGGCAGATTAATTGGTCATGGATGTCTACATAATGCCACATAGGAAATCTCATATCCCATATTCCAGAGAATGCACAAACACATACTCACAGACACACACACACACATTCAAAGTACTTAGTATGCCATCTAGAAGTTTCTTTTCTCCCACTGTGTTTGAATACTAATAGAGTGTTTCTGCACAATCACAATACCCTAATGGCAATTAGAATCTTTTGTTTGGCTTCCACAGGGGCTCTTATCCAAACTGTGTTTTTTTTTTTTCATCATTGAGCAATTAAGAGTTATTTGTCCATAAGATTGACATTTTTAAAAGACAGGCTTAATTATAGAAAAAAAATATGGCTGAGTCAGTCATGACCACATACTGAAAATGCTGCTGAACATTAAAGACCTGTCCCTGAATCAGAAACACAACTTTATAACATCATTGTTTTCTCAGTGTTGTGCAACAGTATAAGTATAGGAAGAACTTTAATTAAATAAAATCCTTTGTGGGGTTTTTTTTTCTTTTCTTTCTGCATTCCTCAAATTGTCCCCAAACAAAGACTGTCCACACATCTGCAACAACTTGATTGAATTGGGTGTCAGATTGAAGAAAAAAAAGAGTGACAGGAGACTCTGCACTTTCTTTCCCTTAGACCAGTCATTTTTTTTTGTTGGATGACAGTAATGCAGAAGTGAAGAGTGCAGTCAGTTTTCAAACCTTTAGCTGATTGAGTGTCGCTTCTTCTGAATTTAAACACATAGCAGGGCATAAAATCAATTGTGCAATGCACATGTATGCGTTTCTGCTCAAATTAACACAGACAGGAGGGTAAGAGAAGGCATTTTTACATATTGAGTACACAAAAACACAAGACTTGAGGCTGTCTCACAGTTAATGGAAAATCTTTGTAAAACTCATGGGATATCTAACCTATAATTTGTGGTTTGCTGACGGTTGCAAAATATGAAATCAAACTGTGCTTGAATGTAAACAGAAAAGAGACTATTGCTGGGCATACACAAAAGTGCTAGCTGAAACCTTCTAAGAGGGGGCATAACACACGTAAATACTGTTTCTACCAGCTGGGGAAGATTCCTTACAGTCAGAGAGGCGCATGACCCCGACAACTGTGTCTGTCAGCTAGTCAGTAATAACATCCTGCTGCTGAGTGACCCAACAAAAAAAGTTGTGTTAAAAAAAAAACAACAACCTAAGGTTACAATATGAGGTTTATACGACACTTTCTTTCTTTCAAAGTTTCACAATAAAAGCCTTGTTAGGAAGGGTTTCTGTGCACTGAGGTGCTCCAAGACTTTAAATTTGAAATGGATAAAGTAAGCTGTGACATTGAACTTAGAGCACACAACCACAAGGCTTAAAGGACTACCTCTAATAGAGCGCAACAGTGATGTTCTAGAAGCAGGGGTTTCGATTATGAGCCATGGTGTTGTAATGTAGACTTACCATGAGCTACAACACTGTGAAACAACAGTATGTGTTCTTGTAGGAACCACAGGTCTGCATGAAACCCATCTTATTTGCAATGTCACAGAAAAGAACTACCCTACAAAACTGAAAACAGCGACATCTCTAATTGGTTGAGGTTGTTGTTTCCTGCAAATGCTTACTTACCAGCTTACTTTTTATGTTGCTAGTGCAGTTGAGTTTTTTTTTCTGTCTTATGTTTTATATACATTCATTTATATATATACATTATACATACATTCATTTTCTTTTTAAAATTCAATGTGCTATCTATTCCACTTCAATTATCGAGTGGATCTTTAAGCCATAAACTTTCTTGCTTGCAATTTCTCCTCTTGTGTCCATTTACCATCCCTGGGGCATCAATAAAAGAGTCGATTACTGGGTTCAGTGAGAAATATTAAACATATTAAAGAGAAAAATCCTCATGATAACACATGCAATGACTGTCATTAAAGAATTATGACTGGCATTTTTACACACCATGCACTACATGACTTTATTGGACTTTGAGCCCAAATGAAACAGGCTAGTCATCATACTTAAAGACTGAATGCAACTCAATCGTAAACATCTCTGGGCTTTTCTGTTGAATGACAAACAATAGCATCTGTACTACATCTGAAACAGAAATAGGACATTTTAGTTCACTTTATTTTTGACAGTAGAAAGAGACGAGACATGTGCCCAAACACTATGAAATGAGTATCAGATGGTGTTTCTCAATACGGGCCTGTCAGGGCATGTAAAGGAGGACAGCAAGTCCAGGAGAAGCACATGGAAACCTTCAGTTCACATCATTAGTTCTGTCTGCCACCTTGTCAGGGTATTTATAGTCCTATTCATCCATCAACAGGTCAATGACACAGTCTGCCAATGGCATCCTTCTCTTTCAATCCCATAAGGTATTACTACTGCAGCTAGCTCGCACTGGGAGCAGCTGAGGGACTTTCCTGGAGCAAAGATCCATCTCCAGTTGGTGGTCTGGTTACTGTGGGACCTACTAGCTCCATGTTACTAATACTCGGTATTATTGAAACGTTTCGAATTAGTATGGTGCCGTATAAAACCTTACACTGACACATGTAAGGACACGAGGCTCATACTATAAATACATATACTGCTATCTATTTTAATGGGCACGTGTGGGCCTGTTTAGATGTCGTCTCTGATGATATTAACGTACACCACAATATAACTAATGCGCTATGTGTGTGGAGGCCTGTGCTGCTGGATATCTACCAAAGAAACTGGTAGTCTGGTGTTGTGCTCCCCTTGGTGCAGTGTACTAACACACATAGTGTGGCATATTCTCAGATGAAAGCATAGAGTGAGAGTGGGAGAAGAGCTGAGTGGCAGAGTGGAGGGGAGGCTCGGTGGGCTGAACGTTGTTTACCTGTCAGCTGGCATTGATTAATCTTGTGTTCGGTGAGATCGCTCAGCGACTCGAACACCTGCCGGCAGCTGTCGCAGCTGTGCAGCGCGGGCTCCTCGTCCTCCTCCTCTCCCTCTTCTCCTTCCTCTGGAGAGAGCAGCCTCTTCCTTAGATGCCCGGTCTCACCATCCTCCGCCGCCCTCTCGAGGGCGCACTCTGGATCTGCCGAGCCACAGGAAATGACAGCACCACATAGTCAGAGGGGTGACCCACACAGCGAGGTACTACGGCTTCCTCTGGGTGACAATAAAATGGATTTCTAGACTCTGGATTTAATAAAAACAATAATAAAAGCTGTAATAAAAATGCAGGTTCAATTTGGGCCTCTGTAACTCAACCACTCATGCCATAACAGAACTGTTGGGCAGGTGCGGGCGAGAGATATACAGGCGGAGAAGGCGGTACGACGCTCGCACACACAAATCTGACACACACATACAAACACACAAGCACGCACCCTCTGTTATTAGAAATGGTTTTACGTTGTGTTTGCCCTGCTTCACCCAAGCAAAACTTCAGTATATGAAACTAGACTGATGGGAATATGTGTAGTTAATAAATCCTGGATTGCAGTTTTGGCTGGACCAAAGAAATATGAAATTCTGCCAGCGAGTGCTGAATTGCATCAGTCAGCATCTATCAGAGGAGAAAGACCTTGCCATATTACTCAGACATTTAGACCAGAACTGTGGATGTATGTAGCATAGCGCAGGAAGACACACAAAAACTGAGATTGGTGTGTGTTGGGCTGTCGTCACGACACACTTCCCTAAATTATTCAGCTTTGCTCGCAGGCAGCTGCGGGTCGCGCACATCAATATTCTTCAATCCATCTGCAGTTTTGTCTCTCGTTGGCTTTGTGCTGCAGCAGTGCCAGGGGTGGGCAACTTACTACCCTGAATCAGGAGGAACCATCTTTCAAATTACCACTCTAATCTGAAGTTCTTCACGTGATACTAAAGTGTTCTGACAGCAAATCAAACCTCGCATCGCTCACTCGCAGCGTACCACGCATATCTTCATTCTGACACGTAGTTAAGCCAAAGCAGCTTGGAATAGTATCTTATTAATAGGCAGAATGGCCCGCAGCCCTGTCTCTCCTCACATTGCGACCTTTACACTTCACAATACGTCTAATTAAAACACCATACTTACAATCAAACAATCATGCCACCCTGGTTCGGCTTTTGCGGGGTGGAAGAAAAGCCTCTGCACTTCACTGGCAGCCATTTTAAGCCCCACTCCAATAAGTGTTCCTCGGCTTGTCTGGAAACTCCGGAGGGGAACGTTAGGAGTAAGCCTGTTTTTTTCACCCCGCACACAGTTAACAGAGCCTGAGGACAAGGAGTGTGTGGCACCAAAAGCGTGCAGGTGTGGCTGTACTGGCGCTGGGTGCGTGTGCACTGGGGCGGCCATTTTAGGTCCTCTTTCTGTTAGGGTGCTCTTAAACTGTGAAATTCCTTGAGGAAAGGCGGTCGAGAACTCATCAAGGCCACCCAGGGTTTTTTTCTTTCCCCCACTTGCGCCAAGTATTGATGTAACATCACACCCTCCATTGTCCTTCCCTCTTGGCGACTGAGGCTCTCGGAACATGCCCTCTAAAAATATCAGCACTGTGGTCCCCGGTGGGACCATGCAGAACAGAACAGAAGGTGTTTCAAGAAAATGAAAATCCCAACCCAATCCTCACAGATGCAGGCCTTTCTTGCTCTGGGGGGAAACACTTCTGACTGAGGCCAAAAGCCACACAATATAGAGTTATGATTCATCCGCACACAGAGGCACAGAATTCACAATATGCACAGAAATATGAACACTTCATGTGTGTGTGTTTTTTACAGGGTGCCTGTGGAGGAGGTTAAAACTTTCTTTTTTTCCCAAAGGCCTTCATGAATCATTAATTTCTCTAATATTACAGCATGGTCCTGTCAGGGAAAACAACTGATGGCTACATTTAAGCATTTTATGTCTAATCTGAAATAGAAATACATTCCTCTGAGCAGAGCGTGGATGAATTTCACTGGTATTCTCATATTATTTCATAGATCCACAATAACGACCAAATAAAATACATTTTTTTTATGATTACCGGGGAAAAGGATCAGCGTTATGCAGTTTGATTTGATCAAGTTTGATTTCCAATCCCTTGCTTTCTCTTGTTTTAGGTAACAACTTTCTGCTCCAACTTTCAGCGAATCCGAGCTGGGTCACTGCACTCAGCTGAGGTGAGCGACCTGAGCTGTAGCGATGCGGCACTGGAAGTGTAAACTGTTACATGTTTGGGGGAAGGGGATGGGGGCGGTGGTTTGGAAAGTCGCTCTGGGGGCGTGGGGGTTTAGACACGGCAAGGTCACGTCCAACCGTGGGATTAAAGAGCCACATCAATACTGAGGTTCCTGTGCCTCTGGGCCTCATACAGTAATCCATCAGATCAGGACATTCTCTTCTACCAGCCTCTACTGGCTGGACAGCAGATCGATACCAGTATGCTCGGGATGGCTGTGGAATATTGGGCGAAGATGTGTAAGATATTGAGAATTTTTCATCAGGCCCAACGCCCTTGTTAATTTAAAACAAAGGTTCGAATTAACACCCTTGTTAATTTCCGATGAGCATCTTAACAGCGTCGGCGTGGAAGGTAAGGACAAGAGAGAGGCTACACTGACCGCTGATCCATACTCTGATAAGGGCGGCTCAAAGGGAGATGATCATAGCTGCGACTGAGAAATTATTCATAGGGGGGATATAATGAAGATCTAACAAAATGATTTCTAAGGATAAATTTCAAACCTTTATTGTAGTAAAAGCACATTAATACTGTACTAATAAAATGTGGGGATCTGAATGGTGATTGACGTCTTTAGAGCCGTGTAATATCTGTCCGGGTCCAAATCCATCCATCACGCGCACACTTATGATCTCTTATGGTGCCTAGTGACATTTATCATGCCACAACTTTCATCTTGTGAGTTGAAGACTCTCCTGGACCCCCTACCCTTATATTATTGAATATTTTTTGCTTTTAAATATTTATAACCTTTTAATTGATATTCTCTTCGCTGCTCCATTAGCCCCACCAGGGACCCGTGGTCCCTAGCAAGGAAGCGTAGCCTCATCCCCCACTGTCTGGCCCACACACTGTGACAGGTGCAGACACTGACCACAGGGAGAGAGGGAGGCATGAGCACAGAGGGATAGAAGAAAATATAATAATAAAAAACAATAATAATATAAAGTGAACTGTCTGGCCAAGCCTGTTAATAGAATTTTAATCTAAAAAGTTTAAGTCTCTGCGTGAACCTTAACACTGGAGATTTAATATCTAACCCTAAGCTAGAAAAATTCATAAAAACTTGGGCCTACAATAAAGAGAAGACAAAAAAGTAGTTGTGGATGCTAGGCACAAAATTTAACGGATGTCAGGGTTTTAATCTGAATTTGACTCAAATGCATCTGAGACATACTGAGCACAGAAAAGTGTGAAACCACTGAGGGCCATGTTCTTACTTGCCTGTAGATACAGGCTCCATCAGGGTTTAGCCTGACGGAGCCTCCTTTGTGCAGCGTAAGAACTTGGGTGTCAAAAACATCATTACCAGTGCACCCATCTCCTCATTTCCCCATGATGTTACAAAGATCCTGATCTTACGATGCCCGCACTCCACCACCCCACGCCCCTCCCCTCTCTCCATGGCACCCCGTCCTACAACAACCCACCCCCAAGTTCGAATTAAGAATTTATTCCAACCAGCAAGCAGCTTCTCTCGACACGTGTCGGCAGGCCTGATCAAAGGTGGGCACGCTTCTTTATCAGAGTGAGGGAGGCTGTCAGAAATAGGAGGACATTAAGATTGAATAACCTTCACACGCTTGCCGGCACCTCATTATTTAAAAATCTGAAACTTTTCTTTTTTTTTTTTTTTTTTGCCGAGAACCTACCATATATAGGTCACACTACATTCTAATGCCACATGTGCCTCCAAGTATATCCTCCTCTGTGAGGATGGGACTCGGGGCTCTCCGCTTAAACCGTCACATCCACTGATTCGCCATCATTAAAGAATATGATGCGGCGACAGGGCTGTGAGCTTGACACTTGCCAGATTGTTAATAATTGTCAAGAATTTACATGTGTGTGTGTCTAAGTCTAATTATTAATTATTAAGTCTAATTATTAGTCAGTCATTTGATCCATTTTAAATTTGAACACCGATTAGCAGAGGTTTTTGTCAAAAGCCATTTCTCTTAGAGCGCTAAAGACGAGCTTAAAGTGGTGCACTGGCAGAAAGTGTTTGGCACCTTGTTATAAATTACAAATAAACACGTAGTATTTTTATGAAAATTTTATGATGCACGCTGAGATGAAGATAAGAGTAGCAAAGGAAGGGAGAAAAGGTGTCAAACAATTACAGGAGAGGCAAGAACAAACAACGGAGACAACAGAGAGCAGCTCATGAAGCAAGCAGCACATATAATCACAGGTATACAGATGGCATCATCCGCCATTAAAATCTCTGCACCAAAAAAAGATATGAGCACACAAAGAAGAATGGAAATCAAAGAAGCTGAATGAGAAACAACATTTGAACACACCAAATGCTCTTTCTCTTGTTCAGCCGTCTCACTCGCGCTCTCACAGGCAGTGATAATATTGCACGGAGCGCCTTGCTATGCCATTAGTGCAGTAAAACATCAAAGGAAATGAATAATAGAGAATATGATTTTCTGAAGTGGTGTAGTGAAAGAGCCTTTTCCTCTTCCTGCTGTTGCGAGCCCTGCAGTACATTGATCTGTGGGCAGCCTCAACCTCAGCCAGAGCCAGAGTCTCAGACACCGCACCAACACGCAACACTACTCCACACTAGAGCACCTAGCCACCCAGACACCCCTTCAGATCTCTGAAACTCTTCTATTTGCCTCACTCCACTCCACTTTGACAGAGCTGACACAGTCTTCTAAAAAAAAAAAGAAACAAAGAAAGAAAAAAGCCTCAATCTGTAATAGCCAAGAGCAAAAAAAAAAAGAAAGAAAGAAAAAAGAAAGGGATGTATATATAAAAGAGAAGAAAAAGCACTGAGCATGTGGTTATAATTACACACAGGCAGCGCAGTGGTAAAGCCAAGCTGCAGATCTTAAGCCTGCTCCAGACTCTCTGGGTAAAAAAGCACACTGCCTCATTAAATCTCAGATATCACACTGTTCCTGCCCCTCTATACTATGCATAATACTGTCTATCTTTTAGAGGGCCTCTTTTGTTAGCATTTCTCCTTTGCCTTTGCTACATATCAAACATGAATAAGAAACAGGATGCAGGGTCTGCAGAATGCTTGCAGAGTCACAGAAGAGCGCAACTGGGGGTCTACTTATGAGGCAGATCCTGACACCATGTCTGGTGAAGCCCTTAGCTTGTCAGAAGTCTAATGGCTATTGTGGCCCTGTCCGTCAAAGCAGCAAACGCATGACAATCAGGTAAGCTCTTTCTGCTGCTTTTCAGTTTGATTTTATGAGGACTTGTTGGGGCATTATGTAGAATTACTGCATTTTAAAACTCAGACAGGTGACAGATAGGCAAAGCGAAAGCTCGCTGTATCTTAAAAGTTCATCGCTGCAAACAACTATTTCCTCATTGACCATTCGTCAAGCTGCATCCTGAGAGGAGGTTAAAAAATAAATCAGTCAAACGAAGTCAAATGAGGAAAGTGAGAAATTAATTTGTGCGCCCTCCTGATTTCTCCACAGGCAGACATCGATCATGTGGCGGCTGTCTCCCCTCGCTCTGGAGATAGAGGCGGTGCAGAGACGGGGAGAGGGGAGATTCGTGTGTCTGAGGGGGTCGTTGTAATCAGGCACACTCATTAGCTCTGCTTTGGCTCTGGATGACAGGAGGTCTCCGAGGCAAGTCTGCCTCTTATGCCCAGTCCTTCATCCCTTGAGCCGGGGTTAGATGGGCAAAGGAGGCAGATTCTTTTCAAAGAACCACCCACCAATAGCCATCAATACAAATTAACACAGCAGAAGATGTATTGGCCCGGCTATTTAGTTTAGCCATACACAAATATGTGGCAAAAGGGTCTAATAGTAAGTCTGATGAAGAGGAAAAGCTCAGTCGGAAACAGATAGCAGAAAAGTGTATGTGCAAAAACTGCTTCTTTCTAAATCAGTGCAGGAACCTCACATCTACCTTAAGATACCAGCTAACAAACAAGACATCAGACAAAAACAGTTACTGAGTACTAGTGAGCAAGTGAGTTAAGCCAGGATTTACTGCAGTAATGCATACAGCTCCTGTATTTTACACAGAGGCACTCAGAAAGCTATGGGTAAATGCTGGACTAATGTGGCAGCCTAGGAGTACCCAGGGTCCCCAGCCTGCTGGGCAAAACCATCCATATCGGGTTTAAAATAACCACGCCTGAGACTTAACCTTTACCAGAGACAAATGAAATGAAAATATACAGTGTGGTGCATCAGGAGCAGGCTTCATTCATAGGGGGCTTTCTGCTAGCCTGACCTGAATTACCGCTCTGTTCCTGGAGGGCCACTGTGAATGGCACGCGTGGAGACAGGACACATTCATCTGCGTAGCTCTATTCTACATCATACAGAGGGTTTGGAAACAAAGAGCGTAAAAAAAAAAAAGCCTCAAGAACACACAGAAACACAAGGACAGCTATAGGCACACCTGCATGCGTGCACACAAAATGCACTAAAGCGCTTGAGTTATAAAAAACACATGCAACCATTCGGTTTACAGCAAGAAAACCTCAGAAACAGGAAGCACATACTTTATTTCATTCTGATCCCAACAAAAAATTTTACAGACAGACGCACACACATAGGCGCACACACACAAACGCACACAGAGACACATGATCCACTTTCCAGCCGAAAATGATGAAATATGAAATGGAGCATTACCGCTTGGAATGGCAGTCTGCCCAGGACTGTGCTGGTCCTCTGTCACATTGTCTTCTACTGCCAGAAAAAGAGAAGGGGGAGAAACAGAGGGAAAGAAACAGTTAACAGCGAAAAACAAGTTAGACACATTGAGATTTCCTTCTTTTCTATTATTTACTATTGAGATTTTCTATATGGAAACTCCAGGAGATTTCAGCAGCTTTCCAAAGCTCAACCTGTGGTTTGGCAATCCGCACAAGCCTTTCATATGTATGAGGTTTGGCAACGAGGCAAACAGCCACCCACGTAAATAACATATTGGACTGAGTAATGACGTGATGAATTATGAACGTCTCCCATGAAACACACTCCCAACATCAACAGTGACCAAGTGAAAAATACCTTGATGACTATATTAGTAAGAAGGTTGCACGGTGCACTGGTTAGCTACGTTAGACTGGCATCATGAAAAGAGCACTGCAGCATAAATATGGATCTTCCTAAAGCTGTGATCCTGTGATCCAAAATGAAACCTACAGTAAAGTATACAAATGTAATAAGACGCCAACAGACACATAGAAAATGGATGCAGCCAAAGTGGCTGCAAAGTGTTTTTGCTCTTTAACAGGGTGGGTGACAAAATAGTGACGGCTTGATCGGCACTCGCATCTGCTCATTAGGTGCATGGCAGCTAAACCACTTTTGACTTTCTGACAACAGCACCGGCCTTGAAAAACACGACTTATGTTTAGTAAAAAGTAGGAACCTTTTACATTGGAGCCTTTTTGGAACCGGTGAGAGTTCCTCGTGGCATGTCAAGTACAAGAAATGAAATGGATTTTAACAGCGGGAAGAGAACAAAAGAGTCTCCCACCTGTTCCATGTAAAATGAGGGTCTCACTGAGGACTTCTTACGCCTCTGCGTTCCACCCCTGCAGTTGAAATGCATTCTCCATTATGTCTTTTCTTTCTAGCCTTTCATTTTCCTGGGCAAAGAGGAAGGGGGAGTCTGACAGGACCTCCCAGTAGGGGAGTGTGGCAGTGACTGCCAAAGCAGAAACTGGCGCACTTTTAAAATCGCACAAAATATCCTGTACTTTGCATAATTAAGCCAGGATCCTATGGTGGCAGAAGCCTTTTCCACAGGGGAGCACAAGTTAGTGTCAAGTGGGGTGTCAAACTTCAGTGAAAAATGAAGAGGAAAGTGTCGAGCTGTTTCTTATGAAGACGGCAAACGATGGAGCGACTATGGTTCGCTGTCATCCGGTGTCCAGCCAAAAGTGAATTTTCAAGGAACTCCAATATAGAAAAAAAGAATCTTTTATTCAAAATAAACTTGTAAAGAAACGACAATGTAAATTCAGTTACATATAGGGATGTTTTCCGAATATCTTGAATATTTCCCCGAGCAACAATTAGAATTGATGTAGGAAGAAAATATGCAAAACAAATGGTCATGGGTCTAGCAATTAATTAGCTAAATCAATTAAAAGTGATGGAGCAGACATAGTTGGACACCGTGGAGGTATATATCCCTCAGAGCCTCCAAAGAGGACTGTTTCAGCCAACAGAGAAACCTTGTCCTCTTAAAGGAGGCCTTAGTGGCTGGCGCCCTGAGAGTTTAATGAGTTTCTCTAACACCGTTGAGCGCCTTGCATCTAGAATCATTTAAATGGGCTAGAGATAGGGGGTCCTAATAAATCCCCCATGGTTCTATCAGAGATTGGTGGTGGGAGCTGGAGTTTTTGTTTTGATTACCGTCCCTGTTGGTGAGATGAGGGAGTTCAGGCAGAAAATTCTATTTTACATTGCCATAAGAACTTAAACATTACAGCGGTTTGCGATGATTTGTCACCACGGTGAACTTATTAAAAGTTTTGCCATTTAAAGTAAACAACTTCCATCACCGTGCAAATTCTTTTCTCATTTGCACCTGTCTGCTAGATAATTAATAGCTAGCTAGGAGCAATCATAGAGGGTAAGCTGTCAAGTCAGGCCAAATTCCTGTGACGTTTCCTTCTAGCTGGACATTTGATGAACAGTCATAACAGTACATATATAAATAGGGTGGGCACTTTTAATTAATATACTCTGAAGCTCATGATTACCTCATAATGACTTCAGCTGACTGCAACTCAGTCCACACTGCTGTAACTGCATCACTGCTATCAGTTAATTAATGTTTGACAAGGTACAGTGTATCACTCAGTCAGTGACAAACTGTAATCATGCCGCAAGGTTTTGTTGATACAATACCAAACACACATGGGACCATTTCAGCACAGCTCCTTTGATTTTCAAAATGCAGAGCAGGAAAAACATAATCCCACAACAAGTGGCACAGCATTAAAGGCCGCTAATTAACACAATGGCCAAACACACACACAAAAAAAATGAATGTGGAGTAACTGTCATTATATCGTGAGTGACAATTCCCAAGACGGGACGCTTACTTTTTAGGAAATGAATTAATTTTCTATCGGAACAAAACGAGGAGCAAAAAATAAAAAAATAACACAAAACGAAACAAAAAAACCCCAAAACCCTCACAACTGAACAACTGAAAAAATACCCCACGCTAATTTACATGCGCACAAACCATGACACGCCATAACAGCAACAACTAATGGCTTAACAGAGATGAATAAGGCAGAGTCGCAGAAGCTTGGACTTTTTCAAATCCATCAAATGAATTCCTGCTGCTTTGGGAAGTGTGTATGTGCACAGATACATGTATTTAATGCCGTACATGTCTTGCGCTTTTATGCGAGCATTGCCACAAATTTGGTGTGTCTCTGTTTGTGTGTGAGGGTATCTCGCAGCACTTCTCAGACATTTAAAAAAAAAAGCCCTGAGTGTGTTCCTGGATATGCGTGACTCATCTGCTTGGTTACAGCCAGCTTGGACGATAAAGTGCCGAACACAATGGCTGTGTAATCCGCCCTGACTGACCGGGAAGGAGACGCTCGCCACAGGGACTACAACTCAATTTAGCTCGGGTCACGAGGTCAACGCTCCTCAATTAGGGTTGGGGAGGGAGGGAGGAGAACACACACTGCACATGAATAACTTTCTTAATGAGCATTATTTGAACTGGTGATTGGTGTCATAAATAATTTGCAATAGAGGAGCATGTTAATCATGTTGCATAATATTTATATTCTATATTTTGCCTTGCATTGTAAGCAAAAGAAAAAAGAAAAAGAAAAGAAAGAGAGCGCGAGAGAACTCCACTAGCAGCACTATAAAAACGTCACAAATCAATAATCTCATTATGCAATTATTGCAACTTCAGCTTCCAAAAATATTAATGCTATTCATAAATGCAAACGAGACAAGAGGAGAGGGGGAAAAAAGACAAGAAAAAGAAAGAAAGAAACCCCAGAAATGTAGCATTTCATTTGCGGCAGTGGAGGAAATCCGTCATTGTCTCTGAATCAGAACTCTTTCTCCATGTGGCAGACAATCCATGACAACAAGAGAGACACATGCCATGGAATAAGAAGACATATCGGCCAGCTCCCGCGACGCCCAGTCCGACACACTGAGCCGCATGTCAAGAGCACTGACAGCCGTGCTAATGGGATTTTTCCATGCCTCCATCATAATTTCCTTAATGATAATACTATCCATATTTTTGTGTCACATTAGAAAAGTGTTAATGGGTGTTATGCCACAGATCATTAATTGTGAACAGACCGGAATACTGCAGCTTGCTGTAAACTAAGAATAACGCACCTTTTAGACATGAAAAGAGAAAAAAAGAGTGGACTGTAGCATGCGTCTGCGTTCCAGCTGATAAAATTAAGATTAGACATTCAGACCATTTAACGGTGAACACACTGCAAACAGGCTGCCTTAAAAAAAAAACCCAAAAAAACAGGTAAGTTAGTTTTTGACTTGTTTCCGACTAAACTACAGAAGCTTTAACCACCCCTTCACACTTTTATTTATTTATTTTTTGTACATACACAGACCTATGCTTCAAAGTACTGAAGAGAATAGGAGTGGGAGTGGTTATGCGTGTCAAATGTTCAATTTTGTTTTCACTAAAAGGAAAAGCTTCAAATTTTATGGCCAATTTTTTTGATTAAGCAAGTAAATATTTGTTTCACTTTTTCTCGAAAGGTCTGGTTTCAATACCAGAAAAACGTCAATAAAAACTTTAAATCGAATTATTATGCACAAGCTTAGGAATTCAACCCCTCCCCCAAAACAGACAATTTAATCATTAATTTTATTTTTACAGGCCTATTACAGATTTTACAAATCCACCCAGTGCATGAGGGGTATATTTAAAGTGTAAAGTGATATTTCCTGTCAAGTATATTTAAAGCACGATAACCTCCTGGGATCACTTGTCTGGTGATGAATTTGAGTTTCTTAAAATCATCAAATATTTACGGTGTACATGGCACAGCCCTGATTTCATGGCGATCACCATACCTAATGGAAATGGTGCAGAAAATATATTTATATATGCAATTGACAGACCTTCCTCCTCGGCCAATGAACACATCAGTGCCAAGACCTGAGAGTGTAATTTGCGCTCCAAATGAAAATATCAACCGCGTCTCATGTTATTCAGGAAGTAGTGGAGGACAGGCAACGTGGCAGTCATCATGCAGGATTTGGAGTGAGATCCTCCTTCCTCGCTGCTCACCACTGACTGAGGCAATGTGCTGACCCAAAGCCTCTGCACATCAAAACAAAATTACAATGTGCCTACAGTTGAGAAATATAGAAGGCTCAGGATTGAGTAAATGTCAGTGGCTGGGGTGAAGTGTTTGCATATAAGCGAATGATGTATGGTCTCGTCCTGTGCCATTTATTCCCCCAAGCAATAACGTAGCCGGATCTGTCTCTCAGACTTAATTGAAACGGGACTTGTAATGTTGCCCTTTTCCTCCATGGGACCAAAAACATAACCTCTGACTCCCACAAGCAGCCAATACTGAGCAAGTGGGTGTGTGTTGGAGGTACACAAGGGAAAAAGGAGTGCCAACTGTCACAGCATTATTTTCTCATCTTCTCTGCATGCACCCCACGTCCATACTATCCATACCAGTCCCTCAAAACGCTGCACATGATGCTCGTTCTACCTTCCCACCACGTTCCATCGGCATCTCTGTTCATTCTCCCCTCTGCAGAACAATGCGTTCTTTCTGAGCAAAAGGGAAAAAATTGGAGCGTTCACATTGACCACTGCCTCAAGACAACCTATAAAAGTGAAATCTGAACTCGGAGATCCCGGTCTGCTCGCGAAAAGACACAGGAATAGGAGACACGGGCTCACACATGTATGAATGTGAGCGACACAAATTAGGAGATGCCACAAAACAAGAAACTACAAATAAAATGACCAATCATGTCTTCCTTGAACAATAGAGAAGAATAAAGTGTCAAATGTCAATTTAAAAAAAAAAGACAAACAAAGTTATTGTGGACATCTGTATAAGTTTATCTCTGTCCCTGAGGAAATAGATGGACAAAGAACAATAAATAACATCTGCCTGGCCTTCTTTGGGTCCGATCCAAAACAAGGGAATATCTATGACGTATCTGCATTTCTGCTCCGGTTGAGCAGCCGGAATGAAGACATAAAAGTCACGATGTTCCGTGCTCCACATTTTCCCAATTTAAATTTTAGTGACAATAACAAAACAAACAATGTCATCACTCTGACTTCATTTGCATACTGATTTGCTCACTCTGCATCCCTCTCTGCCGCACACTTAGATGTACACAAATCTTAACAGATGTTCTTCTGAATGCACACACACAGTCTCTCTCTCTCTCTCTCTCACACACACACACACACACACACACACACACACACACACACACACACACACA